CTCGGTCCGAGAAGCCAATGTTTGTAATCCCAAAGTTACGTTATTGGAATCCCATCAAGTTGATTCCAATCTACCACTTTCAATGCAACCCACAGCGAAAATAAAGACACTAAATTATATTTTCAATTATCGGGGAGTCAAGGGGCTCTAAGTACAGCCACGAAGATGGCTTTCCGGAACCAAGAGAGCAACCCAGGGCCTCACCCAGTTTTATTCAGTGGGGGAGTGGCTTGAGGATTGACTGAGAATTGTGGGAAAGAGACTACTATGAGCTGAGCTAGGTGGGTGGCCTACATTTACCTCTGCGATATGCAGAGAGGATATGCAGAGAGAGTAATCTGCATTATATAGTATCTAATGTTTTGGTTAAGTCTGGTGCTTCAGCTTTGGTGTAGCCTTTCAAGCCCCAGGAAGTCATGGCCTCTGTGTCAAGGCTCGATCCCAGGTGGCCCCGCGAAGCATTAGCTCTACCGTCCTGTCTCAACCTGACTCACATTAAAGAGCAGCAGGTATAGGTTACCAGAGAAACACGCACGCCACCTTCAAAGACTATCACCAGCACCTCAGCTAGACCAATATACATTGCTTAAGGCCAGCTGAAGGATAAACAGAAGTCATGGCTAGCTCTGTACATAACAGTACAAGGAAATAGGGTCAGGCTCAGTCAAAATGGAGACAGTCGCTCTTCTTTCAAGGAGAGCTGCTCAGGTGGTTCTCTCTATATCTATCTATCTATCTATCTATCTATCTATCTATCTATCTATCTATCTATTACTTTACCAAAGAAGTCTAGGAGAATGAATACAACAGACACCGTGAGTAGTGAAACAAAATGGGGTGGGCAGGTCAGCAACAAGAAAGCAATGCAATGACGAGATTAAATCAATAGTGTGTGGACCACAAACCCTAAATTGACTTGCCCTTGCCTTGCGGGCCACTTTTGGAATGTGGAAATGCAGTCTCCTCTATGTCAGTGAGGCTCACAGAGCAGGACGCAATCTGCGGAGGACAACACAGGAAGGCCAGCACCCAGGAGGGGGATGAGCCTTAGCTCTCTTCTTTATGCTGTTACACTTGCCCATTCGACCACTGCTTCTGTGCTGCTCCAAGAAAAACACAGTACCCTCCCCCGGCATGGGCTAAATAGAAAGGGCTAGGCGGAGATACTGGACCCTTGCCTCCAGAGGACGTGGATCACCCCGGGGTCCTGCTGCATGCCTCGGTCTTATCTCTTACTTGTTTTCTTTCCCTCCATGCACCATCACCTGGGCAGGAGACCGGGCACTGCAGGCATTCATGACAGCTGGCACCATGCCAAGGGTCACTAAGAAGTACCTGTCTGTAATCACTCTCAATGCACATGGCCCTAATTCCCCAATGAAAAGACACAGAGAAGCAGAACAGGTGAAATAACCAAACCAGATGATGTACTATATCCAAGAAACACAATGCAAAAAGAAATGAACAGAGCAAAAATCAAAGCATGGAAAATAATATTCCAAGCAACAGGAACCCAGAAAAAAGCAGAAGTAGCCATCTAAATTTTGGGCAAAATGAACCTCAAGCCAACACTATCAGAAGAGGCGCAGAAAGTCATGGTGGGGAAGCAATTCAGTCGGGAGAGATGCCAGTATAAACGTATACTGGTTATAAAAGATCAGATAAACAGCAACACAATGGGGGGGCAGCTCAATAGTCAGATCAATTAGACAAAAAAATCAACAAAAAAATATCAGAGAAGAAACAAACAAACTTAACAGCTATCTACAGAGTGTTCTATCCAACAGCAGAACACACATTCTTCTCCACAGCACATGGGACTTCCTCCAAAATTGACTACTTCCTGACTATAAATCATGCTTAAGTGTATCGAAAAATAATTTAAATTATACCATTTGTATTATCGGATCATAGTGCAATGAAAGTGGAAATCCATAGCAAAAGAGACCAGAGAAATTATGCAAACATGAAAATTTAAAAATATCCTCTTAAATAATCACTGGGTCACAGAAGAAATCAAAGATAGAAAGTTCTAAGAAATAGACAATCATGCCAATACAGCAAAGCAGAGCATATGGGTCACAGGGAAAGCAGTCCTGAGGGAGGCAGATAGCTGCTATCAATGCACACATCAGAAAAACAGAACAAGTTCAAATAAATAACCTAACAGTGTACTCCAAGGTCATAGAAAAACAAGAATAATCCAAATCCAAAGCTGGTACAAGAAAGAAAGTTATAAAGATCAGAACACAAATCAATGAAATTGAAAATAAAAAAATAGAATCAATAAATCAAAGAGCTGCTTCTTTGAAAGGATAAAGAGAAAAATTCCTACCCAAACTTACCAAAATAAAAAAAGATCTAAATCAATCCAATTAGGTACAAAACATGCAAAATCACAATGGACACTGCTGAAATGCAGATTATTAGCAATTGTTTTGAGAATCTAACAAATTGGAGAACTCAGAAGTAATAGATAGTTCCTACATGTGTATGAATGACCAAAACTGAACCAAGATTTAAGTACCCTGAAATCCAATGGCAGGCAATGAAGTTTTTCTTTTATTTATTTATTTGATACAGGCTCTTGCTATACAGCTCAGACTCATAGTGATCCTCCTGTTTCAGCCGCCCCAGGCCTGCAATAACAGGTGTGCACCACCGCACCGTGTCAGTGGCCAACACAGTGCGCCTGGGATTCAGGGGCTGGCACAGCATGCAGTATCGGGGATCAAATTTGGAACCTCGCACTTTCCTGGAAGGCACTTAGACCACCTAGTTATCTCTCCAACCTGAAATAATGAAATTTTAATGAAAAAATATCAACTAAAAAGACTCCAACTCCCATTAAATTCACGTACAAATCCTACAAGAACTTCGGGTTAGATCTAAATGCCAATACTCTTTAAATCCTTTGGTGAAATTAAAAGGGAAGGGATATTGCCAAAGTAGCTCCTGAGGGATAGTGTTACTCTTATTCTAAAACCAAAAACAAACCCAACTAAAAAAGAGAAGAATAAGTCAATCTCTTCAGCGAACACAAACCCAAAAGTCCTCAATAAGATACTGGCAAACAGAATGTGTAAAGTCATCGAAAAGATGGCATATCCCAGCCAAGTAAGAGTCTCGGGCATGCGGGATGCTTTACTACCCGCAAAATGACATATGTAATACATCACAGACAGAAACAATGATTTTAAAAATGCATTATCATCTCTACTGATGCAGAAAGGGCTTTGACAAAAATCTAACACCCACTCATGACAAAACCTTCAAAAACAGTAAGGACCTTATCTCAATATGATAAAAGCCATTAATGACAAACAAATGGTCAACATCATATTGCATAGGGGAAAACTTTTCCTTTAAAGTCAGAAAGAAGACAAGGATGTCTACTTTCACCACTCCTGTTCAACATAGTTCTTTAAACATTAGCCAGAGAAATCAAGCCAGAGGTGGGGAAAAAAAAGATAAATATATACCTTCTATTTTTGTCTTCTATATGTGTATATGGAAGAAGTCAAATTGTTATTATTTTCACATGATATGATCCTCTACACAAAAGACCCAAAAAATTCCACCAAAAAGCACCTAGCATTAATTACCAAATTCAGTAGTACATCAAAATACAAAGTGAATAATATTCGATAGCATTCTTACACACCAATAATAAACTCACCAAGACAGAAATCAGGAAAACCATTCACAGTACATTCATCAAGAAAAATAATACTTAGGAATTGACCTAATGAAAGAAGTGATAGACCTGGGCAACAAAAACTACAGTATTCTGAAAAGAAAACATCAGAAAATGAAAAGTAACCCTTGTTCCTAAATAGGCAGAACTAATATTTTCAAAATGCCTATACTTCCAAAATTGATACACAAATTTAATGCAATCTCAATCAAAATGCCCATAGCATTCCTCATTCATCTAGACAAAACACTACTAAAATTCGTATGAGAGCAAAAGAGACTCACAATAGCAAAAGCAGTCTCACACATGACAGCAACGTGGGAGGCATCACAATCCTGGACCCCAAATTACACTATAAAGCCACATCAAAAACCCAGCATGGTACTGACCACAACATGGAGCCATGGACCAATGTAACAAAATAGAGGATGCGGAAACAACTACAGGCACACTCTTCTATCTGATCTTTGACAAAGGAGCCCACAACCTACACTGATGGAAAGATAGTCTCTTTAACAAACGGTGCTGGGAAAACCAGTTATCTACAAGATTGAATCTAGACTCATATTTCTCACCATGTACTAAAATAAAATCAAAACAGATCAAAGATCTAAATGTTGCAACAGAAATAATCAGCTAGAAATAAAATAGGTAAAACTCTTGAAGACAGGTGCAGGAAAGGACTTTCTGAACAGAAAGAAATAATTCCAAGAATCAACAAATATTCTTACATCCTATAAAATGTAAGTTTCTGCACAGAAAATTAAGCAATAAACAGAGTGAAAAATAACCTATGGAATAGGCAAAAAATAAAAATATTTAAAGAACTTGAAAAACTCAGACTCCTATAATAAGATACTCAATCAAAAATACCCAGCTGAATTGAGTGGACACATCTCACAAGAACAGGATGGGTACGGGGCATACAGCGGTAATCCTAGCCTGTGGATGGCCAAGAGAGGAGGAATTCTGTGAGCTTGAGACCGGCAAGGCAATACAGTGAGTTCAGGGCCAGCCTGGACTACACAGTGAGCCTGTGCCTATAAATAATTTTTAAAAGTACAAATGGCCAATAAATACATGAAAAATGTTCAACATTCCTGGCCATTAGAGAAAAGCAAATTAAAACAACACTGAGATTCCATCTTACCAGCGAAAAAAAAAGAATATCATCAAGAAGTTAAACCAGTACTTAAGTACCTTTTGACCCCACGAGAAAAAAAAACTAACATTCAAAGCTACCAATAACAGGAAGAGGAAAAAAAAAAATTGAGAATGAAATGTTTCCCACCATAGTGGGCTCTTACTCACATTCTCCATATATGCGGCGTGCTAGTTGGATACCTTTTGGCGTAATTGTTACACGTTTGGCGTGGATGGCACACAAGTTGGAATCTTCAAACAGGCCGACCAGAAAGGCCTCACTTGCCTCCCGCAGAGCACCGATCGCTGCGCTCTGGAAGCGCAGATCTGTTTTGAAGCCCTGAGCAGTTTCTCCAACCAGACGCTGGAGAGGAAGATTGCGAATCAGAAGTTCAGTGGACTTCCGATAACGTCTGATTTGCCGGAGCACCGCAGTCCCGGGCCTGTAACGATGAGGTCTCTTCACCCCTCCAGCAGAGGGCGCACTCTCACGAGTGGCTTTTGGAGCCAGTTGTTTCCTGGGCGCTTTCCCACTGGAGGATTTACAGGCAGTCTGCTTGGTACGCGCCATGGCACAGGGACCTCCTTACCCCCTTCTCCTTTGGCTGGCCAGAAATCAGGTATTGGCAGCTTTTCCATTTTCATTTGTGTGTGAATTTTTATCTTCATGAGGGATATAAAGCATTAATGCAAGTCAAAAACGTTTCAGTGAGCAAGTTTCAGCACTTCAACTTTATAACAATTATTAATAAAAATCTGTTAAATTTTTCTGGAAAATGCCAGCATTTGGATTTTTTTTTAACAAATAAATTTCTTATTGACAGCAACTAAATGGTGTTTGTAGCATTTTTATCATACAGTAGATTCCATCCAGTCACTATGCTTTTCTGAGTTGTTTTACATGCTAGTACATGTTTTTAACGTTGTCTGTCTTTCTGTGCTGCTCCTGTAAGTGTGCTATTAAAATACATTAAACTGAAAAAAGAAAGGAAGGAAGGAAGGAAGGAAGAAAGGAAGGAAGGAAGAAAGGAAGAAAGGAAGGAAGAAAGAAATTAAACAATAGCGAATGTTGGTGAAGCAATGGTGGGAATGAAAAATAGTACAGCCATTATGGAACTCTTCAGTAGAGAAAAAAAACTAAAACTAGAGATTCCACGTGACCCAACTATTCCCCGTCTAGGTATCTTCCTGAACGAGTCAAAGCTATCATTTCACAGAGCTACATGGGTATCCATGTTTATAGCAACACAAGTCATCATAGACAAATCCTGGAAGCAGCCTACATATGCTGACCATCAACAGCTGAATGGATTAAAAAAATGTATTTATGCACAGAGGTGAACTACTCTGTCATAAAGAAGGACAGACTTTAGTCCTTGTCAGAAAAGTGGGTGCACCTGGAGACCATGATGTTAAGTGAAATAAACCAGACATGCAAGTTTGAATATTGCTTGGTTTCTTTTATATGGAAAACCCAAAACATAAATAAAGAGCAAAATAACAAAAGATAATAAGAAGCAGGGAGACTGTCTTTTTCAAATGGGAAGGGGGTAAAAAATGGAAGAAGGTAGGAATGAAGAGAGGAAAAGGATGAAGGAGAATTAAGTGGTGACGTGCATAAACCAACCACCCATATGGAATATGATCAGGATGTACTAAAAACTGGTACTGATAAAGATGGAAAAAAAAACATTTCTACACAATGAAAGATACAATCAACAGAAGAAAAGGCAACCTACAGAAGAGAAGAAAATAATTATAAGCTATTAATCTGACAGGATATTAACTTCTAGAATATACAAGGGATCTAAATAACATAAAAGAAAAAATCATATTTTAAATGGGCAAATGTCCTCAACAGTTATTTCTCCAAAACTATCAAATGATCAACAAGTACATAAAAAAGCTCGACATCACTAATTTTCAGAGAAATGCAAATTAAAACCACAATAAAATATCATCTTACCCCAGTTAGCAGGGCTATTATCAAAAAGACAAAACATAACAAATGTTGATGAGGATGTAAAGAAACAGAAAAATCTTTTACACTGTTGGTAGGAATTTAAATTAGCACAACTATTATGGAAAACAATATGGCATTTCCTCCCCAAAAACCTAGAAATAGAACTACCATATGATCCAGCACTCCCACTTGGATATATAGCCAAAGGAAATGAAGTCAGTATGTTGAAGAGACATCTGCACTCTCTGTTTATTGCAGAACTGCTCACAGCAGACAAGATATGGAACCAACCTGGGTTTATATACACAATAGAATATGATTCCGACATAAAAAGAACAAAATTCTGTCACAAAGTTCTGTCTCCAACATGGAGGCAGCTAGAAGACACTGCGCGAAAGGGAACAAGGGAGGCACGCAGAGACATGCTGTGTTCTCATTTATGTGCAGAAGGTAAGTTGATCTCAGACAACTGGAGTAAAACAGTGGTTAGTAGAGGGGAAGGTATGTGGGATCAGAGCATAGAGAAATGGTAGTTAATTGGCCCAGGATGACAGTTAATTGGGAGGAATAACTTGTACTGTTCTACAGCACAGTAGAATAATAATGGTTGACAATTCATTGTGTATTTCAAAATAAATAGAGAAGATTTTGAATAATCCCAACATAAAAAATAAAGTCTGAGGTGACAGATACGCTACGTACCCTGATGTGACCACTACACACTGTGAGCAGGCATGGAAATGGTACACTGTCCCTTATAAATTTGTACAATTACTATATGCCAATTAAAAATAAAAAGGCATGGGCCAGATATGATGACACATGTCTATAACCCCAGCACTTGGGAGGCTGAGGCAGGAAGACCACTGTGAGTTTTAGGCCTGCATGGGCTATGTAGTGAGATCCTATCTCAAAAAGACACCTCCCAAAAATTATATATTATATTTTATATATATATTATAAAAATTTATATATAAATTTCTGTGGATTCATTTGAGAAAGTGGTGAAAATTATGGACTTCTGAATTCTTGCTGAAAGCAGAAAATGCATAGATGTCAAGCTTTGAACTTGAAAGATAAGAAAAACAGAGAAGACAGACTACTCACCAAGATATTAGAGCTCAGTTTTAACAAAGCCTGCATTAGACTCTAGGGGTCCAGATCCCTGATCTGGTGCCTTGTCACCTCCTCAAAGGTTCAACTTCGGTTTATACAATAAACAAAACACATGCTTCTATTTGGGGGGCTAAATCCCAAAAAATAATAAAATGGTACAGAGAGCGGAACTGCAATGTAGTTGCCACAAGGCCTCCCCAGACCCCGTGGGGTGCTCCAGAGCTGGGGAGGACTCTTCCGAGTCACCCTGAGTTGAGCGAAGGTGGGATGAGAGGCGGCCTGGGCCCTCACTCTTCCTGCCCCACTGACTGACAAGTCAACAGCTGGGCTACTCAGAAGGCCAGTGGCCTCTGGTAAGGCTGGCGTCTTCAGGAACTCAGCTGAGAGCCAGCAGCCAGCAGCACTTCCACAGGACTGGAGGATGAGTACCTGGATCTTGGAAGGGACATGAGGGGATCTGCTCAGGGTGTATCGCTTCTACCACAGTAGGGACAGGAAAGCCTCTCATTCTTCCGCAAATAATCCTCAAGATTTTCAGTGACACTGCCTCTCTTCACTTCACATTTTTGAAGATCTACGATCAGCCTGGACATCACCAGGAGCCCAAAGAATGCAGCTCCGATGCCCCGAGCATGCCTGAGTGGGACTGAGGGCTCCCAAACATTGTTATGACAATCGACCTTGAAACAATTGGTGAGTTTATTTCTGAAAACGGTCTCTAGAGCATCCCAAGGGTAATGAGATGAAATTGATTGAGCAATGCACTGTTTCGCTTTATGGCATTTCCATTTGTCATACAAATTATAATGAATACTTATTTCTTGATTTACATTTGTGCCTTCATGCAATTTTCAGTTCCTGCCATGTTTACATGCACCATCTGGAAGAACTAATGAGCCAAGGAACGCCAGAAATTATAACTTGCTTTGACTAAATCGAGAAGATTTTTACTGGCAATATAATAATTTTGATTTTGATTTTTTTCCTTCTGAAATTGCAAAGAGAGTAAAACATGAGTTTCACTGACTATCGATATCCAGAGCTAATTTTAATAGCATGAACCTGAAGGCAGCTGGCATTCCCAATCCGTGCAGACTAATTTAGTCATTATAGCACCAGTCTCGTGATAGAAAGTCTCTTCTGACATTGGAACGCTTAAAAATTGTTACTTCTCCTATACACCAAGGTCACAGTAGCTCAGTGTGCACACAAGGGAACACATAAGAATGCTAAATAGGGGCTGGGGAGATAGCTCAGTGGTTGAAGCACCTGCCTGGCAAACACAAAGACCTGAGTTTGATCCCTGGTACCGCAAGCCATGCCAGCTCTGATACCAGGTGTGGTGGTGTATGCCTGTAATTCCAGCACTGGGGAAGCTGAGACAGGAGGATCACTATGAGTCTGAACTGCATAGAGAGACCCTGTAACAAACAAATAAATAAATATTTTAATTTTGCCAAAAAAAATATTGCTGAATAGGATCAAGATTAAAATCTTGAACTCAGGTCTCCCATGGACTCAGGCCATCTCTGGTACTTCAATTAATATTTCTCTTGACAGGTTATGTAAAGAGGTTTAGAGATCAGATGCCTTGTACGTAAAACACATAACAATAGGAACTACATAATGGGGCTACTGTAAGAATTTAAAAAGATAATGCAAGCAAATTACATTGAACTAGGGCCTGATACTGAAGACATTGCTATGGCTTGTATCTAGGTATCCCTCCAAAGTTCCACACAGTCAATACAAGGTGGGGCTTTTCAGAGGTGGCTGGATCTACGGTGTATGATGCTGGGATTAAGTTATGCAATGCTGGGATCAAGGGCATATGATTACTAAACTAGTCCACTGATTGGCTACACATAGTACTGGGTACCCTGGTATCCAAAGGTGGGAAGAGATAAGAGGGAGAACCTTCTACCTCACTGCCCACTGCCTTCTCCCCACCATGAGCTGTTTCTCCTCAGCCATGCCACCCTGCCTGGGGGCCAGCCAACTATGGACTGAAACCTCTACAAACTATGAGGTCAACAAGCCTTTCCTCCTTTAACTCTGGGCATTTCTTCCTTTACCTCTGGATTCTGTCTCAACAGCAAGTACCTAAAACAGAAGTGCTCAGTAAAGATGTAGCAGTTTTTTCCTGTCTTAGAGAGTTTACAAAAAAGAAGATGAAGATGAAGATGAAGATGAAAGAAGAAGAAGAAGAAGAAGAAGAAGAAGAAGAAGAAGAAGAAGAAGAAGAAGAAGAAGAAGAAGAAGAAGAAGAGGAGGAGGAGGAGGA